ACTTACGAATTCCTTTTGTAGGGACAAGATCTCATTTAATAGGATTGTCAGTTTAGTGCATTGCAGAACAATCTCTTCCATGGCTTCATGTTTGCGAATCCAATCTGGAAGCTCAAACTCCATAGCATATTCATTCTGGGTGATACTTGGAATGACTCCAACATCATCAACTCGCATCTGGAAATGATCCCAAGGATTTGGAAGGTGATCTTCCTGGCGCACTTTTTGTTGGTTGCTAACACCATTGACGTAATCGTGGAGCTCTTTTTTTAACCGCATAGTTGAAACAGAGCCAAGGCCAGCCCGAAGATCTCTCAAGATGGGATAGAGGATCTCCACGGTGCCTCGAGAGCCAGGTGGAGGTGTGTAGTTGGGGTTGGGGCCAAGGCAATCATCAATGCACTTATTAGTCTCGGTACAGCACAGAATTGTGCCTTCTCTATCTTCGGTGAGGTCTCCACCTGTATCAATTTCTGTTACAACTGAGTCAGCATTCAAATATCAAGATAGTAGGTTTTCATTACCATCGTCCCAAAAGAAAATCTGGACCAATAGTTAGTTAGGCCTTTTTTAATATAATCGATCATGCTACATACCCAGTATAAAAACTGAGAGAGAGCCAGCATCTTTTCTTTTTTACAGTGTGGATAATAAATGCCTGCCAGAAGAGTATAATTTCCTCGAGTACGGTGTTTTAGTTTTTTCTCCTCCGCAACGTTCACACTAATAATATAATTCAGCAACTTTCCTCAATAATTTGACTAACAAGTTAATAACATTAAACTTACGTTTGCAGCCATTCATCGATTTTCACATTAATCTCATCAATGTTCGGCTGAAATTCGCTAGGCCATGCAGGCATTAATTCCAGGATATTTGGAACAAGAACTTTCTTGTTTAGAGCTCTTCTTATAACCTCTTCGCGCTCATCGAATGGCTTGGCAGCATTACCTGTGATCTGAATGACACCAGGCATACATTTAACCACAATGTCACGTACCAAAAGGACAGTCGTCTTTAGTTGATCCATATGGTGCTAGACTGGCAAATGGCCAAGGATCTCACTACTTTTTACATGGAAGTCACTTGAAAGCTCCTTTCTCTGACTGCCTTTAAGTTGGTACGGTGCCCCCAAACTTATACTTATCTCAAATACCACGTAACAACCCATTCGTTTGAAATGTTATACATCATAATTCCATGTAATCTTACAGAGCCAGATAATTCCTTGATATCATTTGGTCATGAAATCCTTCGGTATGATGCAATACTAGCGGGCCTCAAAGCCGGCTATACGCCCATTTATTCTCAATATAGAGCAGGGGTCATCTACCTTAGAAATCGCTGATGGCTCGGTCAAAAGACTCGGGCTATGTTCCAGATAATACGAGAACAAGAACATTAAACAATATAAATATATGGAGTTAAACTAAATGCATGCACAGAAGTAACAGTTCGTTAGTTAACGTTTATTCAAGCATAAAGCGTTATATTAAGGTATACTTCATCGCCTCTTATGATACCTGTTCACCTTCATGTTTACCTGTATATTCCTTAGTCTCTTGTATTAAGTTTATCAGCAGATACATACCGTTGTATTGTTTACTTAAATGGTAGTATCACGTTAGCGTGCCAGGGAACTTTTGCAATATATACCTCTCTACGAGGCACAATGCCTGTCTTAGCCTCAAACTCACTGTTAAAGTAAATAGCATAGCCCGTAGCCCCAGCTACAAACTGATCCTATTATTATGGATGGCTTATCTAGTATTCGAGCAGGCGTATTCAACAGCTAAGCAGGCGTATTAAATAACAGAGCAGGCGTATTCAGTAAGCTGCCAAGCAGGCGTATTTACTGCCCAATCCAATTAGCTTTATACGATAAAACGCTACCTACCGAAAACCCTGTCATGCGCTCTAATTATCCATAAAATAGATAATGGCGGCTTATCTGGTATCCAAGCAGGCGTATTCTGGGTTTAAAACAGCTAAGTTTATGCTGCGTATTGTAACAATGCGTTAATACCGATAAGCCAGAGAGCAAAAGACTAGACCAATAATTGTAACGGAACCAGCTACGAGGGAACTGGTTGTAGCACTTATAATTAGTCCATGTAAAATTAAAAAATTACAGTGAATTCCTTGCAGTGTAATGTTTCCTGTTGATCAATGCTTTAGTAACGAAGTTCTATATGTAATCCGTAGTAAATGAATGCTATAATCTAGTAAAAATGCTGCAATTTAGTGGGTAAGTGCTGTAATTTAGTGAGTAAGTGCTGTAATTTGGTGACTATGTGCTGTAATTTAGTGATTAAATGCTGTATTTCAGTGATTAAGTGCTGTAATCTAATGCCGTAAGTTATAGTACTTGCTCTTATAAGCCTTGCTATTGTAGAGATAGAATATGCCCGCATGGATACTGAATAATGACCCTCCAGTGTTTTAAGCCATGCAGCTGTGGCTGTATCCCAAACAATAACTTTATTCTCCAACTAGGGCCTGTCTTGTGAGAAGGCTATTGAGTTGAGTTAGCGGTGGTATATCCTCCGTGCATCTAGTAGCAAGCGTCTATAGTCATATCCCAGATGTTGATGGTCTTATCTTCAGATATGTCATTTCGGAAAAAAGGCTACGACGTAAACCAAGTTTGATGGACTCTGCTATACCCCCGGCCATACCCTGGAGGACCCGCTACGATTTTGCCATGCCTTATCTTGTTTTCGTTAATGAAAAGAGCTAAAATATAGCTACAGTTGCGTTATGAATCGTGTGAATTTCGGAGTAGCTTTGCGGGGTTACTCTTTCCTACATACACATGGGCTATATGTATATATAGGTACTTTTACTTTCTTTTGCAAATTTGGGTTTGAAGTTATGCAGGCAGTAACTCTCTGATAAATCCGAAGTAAGAACAATTGCCTAAGCACTTAGTAATGCTGACGGCCTGTTACTCTGAATGCATGGAGTGAATATCAAAGCAACACTACAGAATAATCTATGCCCGATACAAGCTAGATAATCGTCACGATATATAAGTATGTCTGTGCAGATGTGGGTCCAGGCTTGTTCAGTTGCCTTAGCTCTCTGATAAGTCCCAATACAACAGAGGATAGAAGCATTGAGTCGCAATAGTGAGCCGATTGTCCTGTAATATTGGAGTATACTGAATTGCCGAATGACTAACCCCCTCATTATTACGTATTTCCTAAAGAAAGAGAGATATTTTAGGGCTAGCTTGTTGTGTTTGCTAGCAGGGAGGCGGACGATTTCGGACTAACGTTCGAGTTCTTGAACTGGTCACCGTGCATTACATGCGCCACGGGCAAGCTTAAATTCACGGCTCAACTTTTTGTTTTAAACGTCTCAGCTATTTAATACAATGCAATCTCTTTTGAGCCGTACATTTGTCTGCCATCTACTACAATTCACGCCTCGCGAATTTGCTCTTGGTACAAGGACACTTTGCACTGCACAGCGACAAGTCCAATCTGTCGGCATGGGTATCAAGACTGACATCACGCTTTACACCGCGTTAACACCAAATGGGATCAAGGTTCCGATCCTGCTTGAGGAACTTGAGCTTGAATACAAGGTGCGGAAAGACATTGTATCTCGTTTTAAGTAGATTCGGGATATTAAGTTGCTTACACATATGTTTTTCTTTTACTAGTTATACCATGTTAAGCTAAGGGAGAACGAGCAAAAACTACCTTGGTTTCTAGACATCAACCCCAATGGCCGGATCCCCGCTATGACTGATACATGGGCGAACGGAAAGCAGCACCGTATTTTTGAAAGCGGAGCAATCCTTGAGTACCTTGTTGAACGCTATGATAAGGAGAACAGGTTCTCATACCCAAAGGACTCCCCCGAATATTGGGAGGTAAAGAGTTGGGTACGTCCATGGAAATCTCGGAAGTTATATGTCCGAAGCTTCAATGATTGACAAAGTCGTTCAGCTCTCTTGGCAGATCGGCGGCCTAGGCCCTATGCAAGGGCAATTAGAACATTTTAGGAGTGGGCTAATTCAACATATATCCCCTTGGATGTTTAGACGCTAACTAAGCATTCACAGGATATGCGGTAGAGAAGATTGAGTACGGTATTAACCGCTATGATAATGAGACCAATCGCCTCTATAACACTATGGAAGCTCACCTAGCTAAATCTCCTCATGGACTCCTTGTTGGTGACCGCATCACTATAGCCGATATAGCCTGTCTAGGCTGGGTTGCCAACCACGGTAAGATTTTTTATCCACGTTATATAAGGTGTCATTCTGTGTAGCTAATTCTAAATTGCGATTGCCTCTAGACCTAGATGGCGTTCCTCTCGATAAGTACCCTCATCTAGAGAAATGGCTGAAGAAGCTCTTGGCGCGCCCAAGCTACGAAAAAGCCCAAAGGATGCTATCATAGGTATGTGTGTTTGCGTCAGAAGTGGTGTTTATATACTAGTCTATATTACTTATTCTCAATGTGAATCGTGAGTTGAGTAGAGGTCAAGGTTGTTCGCATGATGAACCTTTCGTTTAGTTAGATTCATGTTAGCGGATGTGTTAGTTTACTGTAACTAATTTTGTCAATTAATACTGTATACCTCTTCAAATATCTATCCCTCGTGCAATATGCAAAGCATCTTTAGCGTCGTATTATTTGATTAGTCCACTATACAGCAGAGCAAAACTTTGAGTAAACGCAGCTTCGAGAGCTCCGTAATCTAGATGATATCACGGAAATACGCGTCACATATCTCCCATTTACTGTTTCAAGGCCTTTTTAATTGAGGCTTGCGACGAGCTGCACTCAAAATAAACGACAGACCATGAGTCTCATTTCCAATGCCGGATTGACTCGGTGAAGGAGAGCTGAGGTGAGCGAGAGGCGTAGCATTTGAACTGCAAATTATTGGCCTTTTCATTCCCTCAAGCTCGGAACGTAAATAGAAACAAACTACAAAATGTAAATTCCGGAGTCAAAAGGTAAGAACGGGCAAAAAAATGGACAAACGGGGAATTGAACCCCGGACCTCTCCCAAGCGGGTCCTTCTCAGGTATTTCTGAGACGGAAAGATGCTAAGGGAAAATCATACCACTAGACCATTCGCCCAATTGTTGTGATGCTTGGCAAGTGCTTCGCCAAATCGCCTCATGATCGCAGAAGGAGACACAATTGCTATCAGTTTGCGTGGATGCTTTACGTATAGTATACAGCATTACGCTGCAACACAAGTGTTTGGCGTATCTAGATTCATAAATGGCCAATGCTATACATTGACAGCAGATGCATACCCAATCTTTCTACTCAGTTCAGTACGTGCCCATATTAAGTCCAGAATCTATGATACGATATTATTAGCGAGATGTCAGAGCCAAGTGGTGGTGTGACATACCAATTACAATCTCTTGGCCAGTCATAGAAGCATTCTTAGCCGCGGAAATGAAGGCATCGGCGGCGTCATCAAGATCAGTCTACCAAGTCCAAGTTAATTACTGGACATTTACTAAGAGAAATAACAAAGATTTCTCATACCTCGCGCTTCAGCGTGGACGCGCCTTTGACTTTTTCAATAATTTCTGGTCCAAAACGCTGGCCCTATCATCAAGCAGGTGAGTGATGCTCGAAAATATTCGTTATATAAAAACACAAAGAAAAGAGCAGCAAGAAAAGTAAGCAAAGGATGGAGAGACAAACCCATTCGGTAAGCATAAGACCAGGGAGAATAGCATTTACTCGAATCTTAGGCCCTTGAGTGAATGCGAGGTTCTTCATGAGCTGCAACCCAGCAGCCTTGGAAACAGAGTAGGCCATGCTACTTCCACGATTGCTAATTCCCTGAAAATATCAATCTCTCAAGTTAACGCTTGCTCAAATTCACCAATCAGGCACTTCGTGGTGTTGCTTACTGCGATAGAAGAGGTGATCAGATAGACACCTCCTTCGGGGTTCGCATTGAAGATTGGCGCGGCTTCTTGTATGAGCTGCAGATGAGACAAGACATTGACTGCCCAACACTACATCAGTCGTTAGATATTTTTCTATTCCAGGACTGTCCTCCATTGCACTCTACCTTGTTCCACTCGGCATCAGTTAGTGCATGGAGATCGCCAAACTTGCTCGGCTTGGTCCACCCGGCATTTGCAATAATAATATCGAGTCCACCAAGATTTTTTACTGTTTCTTGAACGATGCGAACATTGTCTTCTCGATTTTCGGCGTCCTGTCCGCTTGGAGCATTAGTCTTGACTAATAGCTTCTGTAGAATGTGATAGTGCACAGGCAGTAATGATGGAGATTTCTTACGCCTTGGATGACGAATATTTTGCTGGAATAATCCTTTGCCAAAGTGTCGGCCAATGTTTGAGCTGCTGTTGTATTGGAAACGTAATTGATTGCGACATTAGCTCCCTCTTGGGCGAATTTCTTACAGATGATGGCCCCAAGACCTCTGTCTCGGTGATTAGTATGGCGTTCTTTTTTTTTTTTTTTTTTTGCTGTCAGGCGGCAGAGTCTTTAAATCGTACCTAGAGCCCCCGGTGACCAAAACGTTTCTTCCTTTCAGTGAGTAAGGCATCGTTTCTGATAATTTGAAGAAAGAAAGGCAATGGATATGTGCCGCTGATCTCCTCTCGTTGTTATAACCCCGCATACTTAAAGCACCTTATCTTATTCATCAGCACGGGAGGAGGGCGGGTCCGTACGACGCTCCACTATTGAAAGAGTTTCGAGGTTATATTTCCTCTCGGCCCCGTTAGGTTTACAAATTTTATGTGAATTATATTAATTTTTGAAAAAATCATACGCAGGATGCAAATTTATAGCTCAATATGCCTCATATATATGATTTGGTTTGCTACCCGAAGATATATGAACAGCAGATCTTGCCTAAACGGGCAAGCCGGCTTTGAATATCGAATTTCCGATTATGCGATAGCACTAGAAGACCTTACGTTCAATGAACTTTGAATAGGATAAAGCTCTTTAATAATAAACGACCATATGCAAACGGCTTTGAAGAACTATTCTTGGAACTTATGATGGGGTTATAGAGTGGGGATGTCGAGATCATGTTAAAGCTCCTATGGCGCTATAAGTGCTAGCCTTTTAGAAATTAATACTAATATTCACTCTCACAAGAGGCCACATGGATTTGAAGCGCAATTAAATCTGTTGATTTCTTAAACTATATGTTTCTGATATCTCTTCCAATGATCAATGCGCTAAAAAGAAAAGAAAGAAAAAAGAAAAAAAAAGGGGGGGAAAGAATGATGTTAAGCAAGTCCGGTTATAGTCGCTCCTTGATCAGACCCCAGCTTAAAGAAATTCGACGTGATCAATGGTATTTGGCCTTCTTAAAACTCATCTAGTAAAACATGACTCGCCTAGATTCAAATTTTAGACAGCTCACCAACTATAATAGCTGCTTAGGATTTGACAGGCTCTAGGTAGCCGACATTATAAACTTCTTCTTCCGGGTTCTGCCAGTCAAGCTTCTTAACCTCTCGCGTCTGATCAAAATGTGTAGAACCATATCGCAAATAGGCGGCAAACGTCCCCTCTTCATTATCTTTATTGTGATTTTCCTCATCGTCCCATATATCAGCCAGCATCTTCAACGCTATTCCGCCGCTGCCTGGCCCGTGAGGTAGCTTCACCATAGACGTGTTTGTCAGCACAGATGTTACAAAATCCTCAGCCTCTTGCCATGCCTCGTCTACAACAACATCATTTCCAGATCTTGGCGTCGACAGAAGATTGAATTGGCGTTGTGCATCCCAATGAGATATCTCTTGGGCGTAAAACATCTCCTCTCTAGCGTTGAGTAAGAGCATATGTTTGTTATACCACTCTGCGCCGTTGAAGCCGTCGTTTGGGTCGTTAAGTTTTCTCAGTCGCTCACAACACATGTAATGAGCCACATAATCGGTGAAGGCTTCATAATTAATATCCACGGGTGTCAGATTGGCCGCACTTGAGGGAGGGCGGAATATAGGCAAATGGCACAAAAGTGGATGTCGATGGAATCCCGCCGCGTTGGTGACTCCATCCCAAAGCGCAACATAGATATCGTGCCACCGTTTGATGAAGGGATTGTTCCGCTTGGTGGCTAGAAACCCATTTAGTGGAGTGTAAGTGTCCGGCAAGTGCATCAAAGCCACCGCACTCAGTTCATAAGGAGACTCGGGATCCTCAATTCGCTTCCAGCAAATATCATCGACGTGTCGCAGCAATATTAGGCCTGCATCCATCCACAGGCCTCCATACTTCCACAGCAGAGGCAAGCGTACCAAGTCGCCTTGATGCGCCTTGTGGCCATCCATAGTGCCACCAATAAAAGTCTGCGGAAAGAAAGATGCATCGATGTAATTGAAGATGTTCGTCTCTGAGCCGTCAACACGATCCACTACATGGACAGTCCAATCGGGACCCAGCCGACGGACCCAGTTAATAACATTTCGCTGTACCCATGGTCGCATTTCAGCAAAGCCCGAGTGCCAGAATGTCCAGATATTTTTTTCAGAGGTGACGGGGTGACGCTTTTGAAGCCATGCTGCGATCTCTTCATCCGCGCGATAGTCAATCTTGTCCGAAGATAAAGGTATAATTCCATCCGGAAGATGTGTTTTCGGAGCGTCTAGCAGGACGCCGACGTCTGCCGACCGAGGAGGTGCTTTATCATCATACATGCTTGCTGATGGTGAAATGGCAATCTGATCAATTTAAGAGACAAATCAGCTACTCGGTCGCAATCTCTCGATTATGAAAGACGCAGACCTTTTATGGCTCTAATCCTTGGGGCAAACCGTAGGCCAAGCTCGTACAAAATACAACGTTACAAACTACCAAGTAACAGCAGTGCTTTACACAAACAATAAGCATTGTCTTTATTCGGCTGCGGGGTATTACAGGACAAATGACCTCTATACCGGAAAATATAGTGTTCAATTAATTATAGGACTTAATCCACGCCCTTTTCCAAGTCTAAACAGCTGGTCACATTATATACTAATGTGCCGACGTTACTATACGGAGGAATTACCTAAAACACCTATACGGTAATATTCCTTGCGTCTCTGCTTCATTTAGCCACCAAATATGGCGCTCAATTACACATATTGTATCTAAATGTCCATTTTCAAGGAGCTTATTTCGTTTAATCTAATATGTCCGTCTTCCATAGCGAATGCATCTCGCGTGGTACGCGATTCATCTCCACTAGCCCGAAACTCTTACGTTAGACAGTGTGCTCCATTCTTGATAGTCTTCATATCTAAATAGCTCGCTGGCTAAACGCAAGTCGCACAACTAGGTCGTCAATAGTAGTACATAGGAGGCATAGTCATTTGAGTTTCAGGGACTGAGTCAGGATAGCGGCCAGGTAATTCGTTATGGTTGGTTTTTATGGGTAGCGATATTCGAATCTAAATGCTATATATAGGTATATGCCCGTCCTAGACAGTAAAAATATATAGATTGAAGCATAGTTCATCCTTGGCCCTGCTCCAATTGGAAGAAGAGACTTTTTTTTTTCGCGCCAGTCCCGTAGGAGTCGAGACGGGTGCACCGTAACGTTGCGGTCTTACTGGTGCCATGCCTTGCAAACTTACAGATGTGGTAAGTGAACCTGCAGACGATCCTCCACAAGTCGCAATTGTTGACATTAGTATAAGATTCAACCACCCGATCTAGGACGAATTTGCTATGGATACTCCCGTGTGGTGAGCATGTAATCTAGCCGTCTACTAGATCGATCTCGAGCCACCAATTCGTCGAAAAATTGGATAAGCAGAGGCATGCTTAATTCGAGAGTTGAGGCAGTTCCAGAAATAGTAGTTAATGCCAAGTAATAAATAGGGCGAAATACTGAGTCACGAATAGGGCGTCCCTCAATCCGGAAGGTATTAACTAATTACCTCCGCATCAGTTTAGTTCACCCACCCAGTAGTTTGGCATGAGTTTTGCTTATAAATTCGTGTCCCAAACCCAATGAAAAGTCGAAAGAAAAATCCGAACTATCTCCGCCAAAATATGATTACTATTCTAGACCCTATCGGCTTCATTCCGTGCCACAAAAAAATGGATTAAGAGACTTTACATACATATAACTA